ACTCTCACGCCCAACTTCCAGGAAGAAGGTTCGTGAAAACATTAAAAGCTTCTGGATCAAATGTTGAAGCACTTACCAGCGACCATACAGGCTATTGTCAGTTTCTGTCTAATACACAGCAATTGCAACGTGTACGTTTTGCAGAGTGATGTTTTTTTTGGGGGGGGGGGCGAAGACGAGCTTGCATTGCCATGTCCTACAGTTTCTAAAACGTCTGTACTACAGCTGTGTACCTCTAATGTACCACTAACCACTGAAGTTGGGAGAATAATGACTAAAGTACATACGGCCTCCGTCGGTCAATATTGACCGTGGTAAAATCATAATTCGCATCAACCTACAGCATCGGCTATGGCTAAACAATCCTACACGAAAGTGACAGCCTCTACCACATAAGACACACCTGTAAGCTGGTTCAGCTCTGCCTGTGTTGGGACAATGTCATGTATAAGATTCAAACTTGTTTCCAAAACGAGAAATAAAACTATTCGAATTATCGAGGGCATCTCCGGTCTTAGAAATTGGGTTGGGCATGTCATCTCGTGGATGCATAACATAGACAGTGGGTGAAATGATAGTTGGAAGTCGGTATTATCTCTGGTCTCGGTAAAAGTTGCTAGGCTGAGATGTATAGTGCTTCCTTATCGTCCATTTACGTACCATATTTCATAACTATGCTTTCCTCCGTGTATCTTTAGGTCTCGTCTGTAGCTGTGACTCCGAGGACGAACACTGCTTCAATATCAACGTCCCCTCAGACGATCCCGACTTCGCAGGGAGGCCCTGCTTGCCGTTCGCTCGCTCCCTATCCTCTCCGAACGAAGGGTGCCACTTGGGCCGCCGGCAGCAGCTGAACCAGATCACCGCCTTCGTGGACGCCTCCAACGTCTACGGCTCTTCGGACGAAGAGATAGAGGAGCTCAGAGAACACCCTGGTAAGTAATACACAAACATGTTTGCACTACCGTTAGTATCGATGGATAAGTCAAACACCCAGGTGAAATGCGTAGTACCATTCGTTTAATTTTGTCTACAGCAAAGCAGACGTTGCTTTCTGGTATGAGGTTCTCCACCCCCCCACCCCCCTAATAGCTGCCGAGTATTTTTCATCCTCATGTTTGGTTTATTGCCCTATTGCCCTTACAACTAGGGTTTATACTATTACAACTAATGGCAGTTGGAGCCCAGGGTTTTTGTATCCAGCACGGTTCCTGGTATAGTCCATGCGTATCCAGAACCGTGCTTACGGTATAAACAGCCAGGCCGGTCTCCGAAATGCGAACTTAACATAAGACAGGCAAAAAAAATGTGGCCCAGTCCACGGTACCGTTAAATTGCAAATAAACATCTTGGTTGGAATTGTCCATATTACGTCAGTCAGCCTGCCTCGGTAGACCAAATGACCAGTCAAAGTTTCGTGATTACTTAAACTTTAGCACGCTCAAGTAGCCATTTGGCTATCTATTGGTTATGGGATTTGGCCGTTCGAAGAAGGTGAAAATACTAGTAAATAGGCCCAATTTCAACAATGTTGCCGTTCCATCCCTACCAGGTGACCAGAAGAGAACAACCTTCCCCTCTCCGCGCAGCACCAGTAACTACGTCAGGCTGATGACGCCATTGTCTCAGGACTTACGCAGTTTTACTCTATGTCTGCACATGCGCACCGACATGAGCTCCAGCAGCGACGCAGCTTTGGTCAGCTACGCTGTGACGCAACAGGCCAACGAGCTACTCGTCTTCAATAGGGGATATAGAGGGCGCGGTTTTAAGGTACGTGCACAGTTCTGTTTGATAGCTTCCAGTTCTGGTGGCATAACCCGCCACTAATTTAATGCTTTTATCTGCCAGATAAGCATTAGACAAGTTTTCTTTTGGTATTCATCACACACCAATGTGATAGTCTCGTTGACGCATTATTGTCTCAAGTAGTAGGTGCCGCATGTCCTCAACAGCAAATGAAACTTCCCATGTCATAATTAAGATATCTATGTTTTTCAGTTGTTTATACAAGGCCAGGAAGTTGTCCTGGGTCCCTTGCCGGTGTGGGACGGCGCGCGGCACGCCTTATGTGTTACCTGGCGCAGCAGTGATGGCTCTTGGCAGGTCTTCGCTGACGGTGTGCTGAAGAAGAGCGGCTCGGGATTTTGCAGGGGTGGACAGAGTGCGCAGCGGTGGTACATTGATCCTCGCACAGGAGCAAGACCGAGTTGGGGGAGGGTTCGCCAGAAATCAAGCGTTCAGCGGAGAACTGTCCCAGGTGAACCTCTGGGACCGCGTGCTGTCTCCAGCTGAAGTAGGGGCGGACTGGTCGGCGTTCTGTAATCACCATGGCAACGTCATTGACTGGGCAACCGCTAACATCCAAGTTGTGGGTCAGGCCGTCAGTGATCAGTATCGTTGTCCAGCCACCCGACACCCGGCTCCGGTGAGTTTCTACATAACTGTTGTTTGACATAGTCTTTGTAAGCAGACGTAAATCTGCCGGCAAACTCATCCGGCAAATCATTCAACCTATTTGATAAATTCCCCTTTTTTTGCACCCCAAAAACTCTCGTGGGGGGCAGTCTCCCCTTTAATAAGTGAGTTGGCTGAGCTGGTTTGACAAATACCCTTTGTTTAGATGTTATGAGTCATGAAGTCAGGTCAACCTGTCACTCAGCCGACAAAAATTTTAAGAGACATTTCCATATTGCCAGATGGCGCTGACCAATTAAAGGCTACATTTTGATGTAACCATCGGTCATTATAATCTTCATCACTTTTTGCAATGTTCCATTGATTTCATGATTAATGTAACTATTTTATTACAGAGTGTTGCTGCAATCATTAGTAAGAAACTCTTTGATATAGATAAATGGATTTAGTACTGATAGGAAGCAAACACAATAGAAATCAGTGTTCATAACACTACTAATGTAAACGTGTTGGGTTTGAATTACGCTAGATCGGATATGGCTTTGGAAATGCAAACCCACTCCTTTCTGACAGTAATGTTACCTTTGACCTACTACTACATGTGCACTAGTTTCCATGAAGCCACGTGTGAGACGTACGGAGGTCAGTATTCCTGAACAAGGCAAAATGACCGGTCAAAGTTTGGTGAGTGGGTTACTCACTATACAGGTAAATGAAAAAGTCCCAACTTTTGACAATGTTGCCGTTCCATCCCCACCAGGTGACCAGAAGAGAACAACCTTCCCCTCTCCGCGCAGCACCAGTAACTACGTCAGGCTGATGACGTCATTGTCTCAGGACTTACGGAGTTTTACTCTATGTCTGCACATGCGCACTGACATGAGCTCCAGCAGCGACGCAGCTTTGGTCAGCTACGCTGTGACGCAACAGGCCAACGAGCTACTCGTCTTCAATAAGGGAGGGCGCGGTTTGAAGGTACGTGCACAGTTCTGTTTGATAGCTTCCAGTTCTGGTGGCATAACCCGCCACTAATTTAATGCTTTTATCTGCCAGATAAGCATTAGACAAGTTTTCTTTTGGTATTCATCACACACCAATGTGATAGTCTCGTTGACGCATTATTGTCTCAAGTAGTAGGTGCCGCATGTCCTCAACAGCAAATGAAACTTCCCATGTCATAATTAAGATATCTATGTTTTTCAGTTGTTTATACAAGGCCAGGAAGTTGTCCTGGGTCCCTTGCCAGTGTGGGACGGCGCGCGGCACGCCTTATGTGTTACCTGGCGCAGCAGTGATGGCTCTTGGCAGGTCTTCGCTGACGGTGTGCTGAAGAAGAGCGGCTCGAGATTTCGCAGGGGTGGACAGAGTGCGCAGCGGTGGTACATTGATCCTCGCACAGGAGCAAGACCGAGTTGGGGGAGGGTTCGCCAGAAATCAAGCGTTCAGCGGAGAACTGTCCCAGGTGAACCTCTGGGACCGCGTGCTGTCTCCAGCTGAAGTAGGGGCGGACTGGTCGGCGTTCTGTAATCACCATGGCAACGTCATTGACTGGGCAACCGCTAACATCCAAATTGTGGGTCAGGCCGTCAGTGGTCAGTATCGTTGTCCAGCCACCCCGACACCCGGCTCCGGTGAGTTTCTACATGCAACTGTTGTTTGACATAGTCTTTGTAAGCAGACGTAAATCTGCCGGAAAACTCATCCAGCAAATCATTCAACCTATTTGATAAATTCCCTTTTTTTTGCACCCCAAAAACTCTCGTGGGGACCAGTCTCCCCTCTAATAAGTGAGTTGGCTGAGCTGGTTTCACAAATACCCTTTGTTTAGATGTTATGAGTCATGAAGTCAGGTCAATCTGTCACTCAGCCGACAAAAATTTTAAGAGACATTTCCATATTGCCAGATGGCGCTGACCAATTAAAGGCTCCATTTTGATGTAACCATCGGTCATTATAATATAATCTTCATCACTTTTTGCAATGTTGCCATTGATTTCATGATTAATGTAACTATTTTATGACATTGTGTTGCTGTAATCATTAGTAAGAAACTTTTTGATATGGATAAATGGATTTAGTAATGATAGGAAGCAAACACAATCGAAATCAGTGTAGAGAAATTCTGTTCATAACACTACTAATGTAAACGTGTTGGGTTTGAATTACGTTAGATCGGATATGGCTTTGGAAA